TTTGTTTAAAATTAAAAATGCCACATAAACAAAATAAAGTGCCATCTCATCAATTTTCGTGTGTTATCTTTTCCACATCGGTATTTTTTCAAAAAAAAAAAGATTTGCTGGCAAATTAACGTGACACTTGTCATTTAACTGACGGAAGGACTATTTTGGTACCAAAAATGAAAGTTCGAGGATAATTTTGGTACTTTTTAAAGATAAGAGACAATTTTGGTATCAAAGTGTAAAGTTGAGGGACTAAAATGGTACTTAAACCATTAAAATAATATACAATGTAATGTAAAACTAAAATATGTGTGTTAAAATAAGTTATCATTAATATATAAATTTATAGTTAAATGCTAAGTTAGATTATTAATTTGATAAGATCGGACAATTTAAAAATATTTCAGATTATAATTTTTTAAATATAATTGATGATATATAATTAAAGTAAAATTATTATAACATCTTAAATAGTGAATGCTAAATCCTTTTAACAAAATTATCTTTTCTATTATTACATTGTATTTTTTTTTAAAAAATTTCTGCATATTTTCTTTCTAAATAAATTAAATGATATAATAATCAATTTAAATAAAAATAACATTATTAATTAAGAATATCCGAATCAAATTAATCACATAATTACAATTTTGACAAAAAAATATTATCAAATAAAACATGATATCTTTAAGTATCCATGTACTATAATACGTTTAAAACAATTTTATATATAAATTAAATTAGAAATCAAATCAATTAACTTACCATTAATTTCAATTCAATTTTAATTATTTATAATTACTTTAGTATTATATAAATTTAATTAATCAATATACTCATGCAATTAAGTCAACCCAAATTTGCTTAACAAAATTTCTAAATAGTCAAACACAATAATTTTCTCAGCATCCAAACACAAAGTGAAACAAAAATTTCTTACTTGATCCATTTCACATTAAAAGAGTTCAAGTCTTGATATCTGGATTATTCGAAGCCAGATCTAACTTCCCACAAATCCATATTTCCAACTCAATTTTCTCTTCCTTTTTCATTTCAAATTCTAAATAACATAATTGCAAAACTAAAACTGCTACAATTCACATATTCCTAGCAACGCATTGAGCTTTCAAGAACAAAATGTAAGATGGAGGAAAGGGGTTGATTTGAGGAAGAAGAGAAGGGAAGCTTCATGAACACAAACTCAAATCTGGGTTCATGAACCTAGATGAGGATTCATTAACACAAACCCAGATCTGAGTTCATGAACCCAGATATGGGTTCATTAACACAAACCTAGATCTAGGGTTGTGAACCCATTTCTGGGTGCATCACCATGAACTCATACAAAATATATGAGAGGGGAGAGTAGCAAAAAGATGAGAAGGGGAAATAGAAACCAAAAATGGAAAAAAAAAAAAAAGCAAAATGGGGGAAAGGGTTGCTGGAGTAATGAAGGAGAAGGAGATAATGGAGGAGAACAGTTACTGGAATAATGGAGGAAAGGGAGCAATTATTTACTGCGGTTAAGGAAGAGTGAAAGAAGATTGCAATCAGCCCATATAGAATGGGTACCCACTTGCAATTCTGTGATATTAATGGACATTAATGTGAAATTATAAAGTTAATAAATATAATTAATAGTGTGTCAAACGAAGATATTAATGGACATTTAAGTTGATAATCTTTTCAATTTTGAAACTATACAATATAGTTAAGAGTCAACTCTACAATATTATATTCGACACTTGACCTCATAGAATCGACTTTATGAGGTTAAGATTCAACTCCCAATTTCCAGAGAGCTAGGGAGCTGATGGGTTCAGGGTAGAGTCGACTCTTTACTGTAAGAGTCAGCTCTTTATGAAAAAGATTCGACTTTCACTTTTAATAGTTGAATCTTTAAAACTGCATTCTGGGCACTACTATTTCTGTCATGTAAAGTCGACTCTTTTCATTTAGATTCGACTCTAAGCCTTCAAAGAGTTGACTATTACATTTAAGAGTCGACTATGAGTTCCAAAATTTAAATATAAGCTCGGCAGTTTCAAACTTTCAACATTTCCCTCTCTCTCCTATTCGCCCAAAATAGAACCCTAACCCAAAAACCAGCCAAAATTTCAACAAATTTCATCAAATCAAATCAGCCAAACACAAACCCATATCATTTTTGGCTCATTCCTCTAAAAATCCTTTGTTGTTGTTTTCTAAAATGGTGAAGCCAAAAAGTGCGGCAAAGAAGCAGAAAGGGACTGCAACCACAACCTCAAGGCATCGAAGGGGTGAAGAAACTCATGGGGATAGTAGTGACAGCATAGACAATGAGCAAGTATTTCAACCTGAAAACCCTCGTAACTTTGTTTCTAGAAATGCTAGGGAAGCATATCAGAAACTAGCAACTAGACATGTGATTTACGGGTTTAGAATGGTGTTGGAGGATATATGTAGAGGTGGGTTATGTGTTAATGAGATGCTAGATGCTATGGGGTGGACAGAATTAGTAACTAGGAAAGTTAAGGTTTACTCGCAATTAATAAAGATTTTTTATGCAAATTTGAGTGCAATGGATGAGGATGGAGTGTTAAGAACCACTGTGCTTAAGAAAAATATCGAATTTGATGCTGAAACCATTAATTATGTAATATCCCCAATTTTCGGGAATATTTAAGTATAAGTTAAGGACTTGATTGTGAGAAAATATTGTTTTGGGTCTAATAGCCAACATTCCCAAACTCGAGGGACTTAAAAGAGGAGAATTTGGATAAGGATGGCTTATTTCTTTTCTCCCTTTTCCTCTTTCTTCTCCAACCCGTTTCTGCTCTTGTCTTCCCGGTGCAGCCCGAGAGAAAAAAAGAAAAAGGGAACCCAGCCAGCCTTTGAGAAACTAGTGAGAAAGCTTGGAGATTTCTCCTTCCTTCTTGCTCTAGAACACACCTAGAACCCAGAAATCTTCCCTCCCCTGCTGGAAAAGCCGGATCTGCCTTGCTCTGCTTCTTCACCGCCGGCTGCTCTTGCCTTGTGGGGGGCGAATTGGCTTGGTTTTTTGGTAAGAAATAGCCATGAATCTCCCTTCTCTTGTTTGAATTGCCCTGGGTTTACTTTAATTGCTCTTGTTCCTCCAATTTTTGGGTAAACCTGTGAGCTTTCCCTGCAGCTTGCCGCCGGCTTCTTCCCCCTGCTAAGTCCGGTTCCTTGCTTGTAAATTCTGGTATGTGACAGCACTTTTAAGGCTTAAATTATTTGTTTAGTTCGCTGGCTGTGTTGTCCGAATTTGATAGAAAATTGGGGATAATTCCGGTAGCTTTAGGATGAGATTTAAGTATTAATTGAAGTGAGATTTATGTGATTGAGTGTTAATTGATTGCTGTGTGATTTTTGGAGAAAATCCCATGAGATTAGCTAGTGTTTTGGCCAATTTGTGGAAGT